TATATATATATATATATATATATATATATTATGTTTGGTGCTACTAAGGGGATCAAACAAGGTGACGTTTTGTCCCCTACAATCTTAATCTTAGTATTTGATTATCTATCCAGGATGCTAAATTACATGTTTTCTAAATCTCCTCATTCGGCATATAATAAAAAATCCAACATTGGTAATAGCCATTTATCTTATGTCGATGACATTATTTTATTTTCCAATGCTTCTAAAAATGTTGTCAAACTATTATCTCAAGGTCTCATTCATCAGAAATGTAAAATCTTCTTTAGTGCAAATTCCAAGCCCCACACTAAACAATGGATCTCTAATTATACTGGCTTCAAGATTGCTTCTCTACCCATTAATTATCTTGGTTTGCAGCAGCTTAAGGGTAGAGCCAAGAAAACCTAATTCAATGAGATAAATGGTAAGATTAAAACCCAACTATACTGCTCGAGAACCTCATTTCTATGCAATGTGGGTTAGAATTACCTTGTTCAAACGTATTATTTCTATCATCCCTTCCTGTGCACTCCAGATGTGATGCATGAAGAAAAGTACAGAAGTTTCTCTAGGGAGGATTTTCAACAGGTTCTTGTGGGCTCAGCAGAAAAAGCAGTTTCACTGGTTAACTTGGCAGGTGGCAGAAGCTTTGCAAACCTAACCAAGCTAGAAAGCGTGGATTTAAAAGCTTTAAACACTTCAGCTTTATCAACCTATGCAAGTTGTGGATTAATTTTATAGCTCAATACTATTTATTGACAAAGTTCATGACCACCAAAAATTGTAGAAATATTTATCCTACCTTTGTACCCAAAAAGTTGGGAGACTCCAGTCTGTGGTCCAATTTGTTGGCAGTCAAGAATCAACCTAAAGAGCTACTTATTTACAAACTGGAGGAGGGACGGATTAATTTTTGGTTGGATTAATGAGTCTGGATTGGGGAGAAACTAACTTATGCTATTACAAGTAACAACTACAAATATCTAGTGAAAAACTATTGGATTGAAAACCAGTGGAATTGTAGAATGTTGAACACTCTCCTTACTCATGATCAAGCTAATCTTGTTATGAATACCCCTTTCACTTATGGGTAGAAAGATAATGTACTGGGTACCCCCTCCCTTTCTAATGTACTCTCAACTAGCTGAAGGTGAAAACTGATGGCAGTTTTTCTAATGAAGATGCTGGTTATGGGGGAGTGTTTAAAAACTCCTATGGAAAGTGCCTTATGTATTTATATTACCCCACTTTGGCAGCTCATGCTTCAAAAGCTGAAATGATTTCCATCTTTTGGGTTATCAACATTGCTCATGGATGTAAAGTTGATCATCTTTTTGTGGAGTCAGATTCCCTTACATGTATCAAGATATTGAGGAACCTATAACCACCTCCTTGACACATCCTTAAATGGTAGAGAAGAACAAACACTTATATTCAATCCTGTTAAATACTCTTTACTTGCATGCCCAAGGAAATAAATGGACCTGCTCACTGGTTAGCTGCTTTAAGGAAGAACTCTGAGTTGATTGCAGTAGGAAATTCCCCGCCCCCCACCCTATATTGCACTTTTATAAACCCTTATGTTGTTACATGGAAGGTGGGGGATTCTAAAATCTTGAAGGCTATTATACTTGCTAGAAATGTGGCTTCTCATTTCATTTTCTGGGATGTGGGTGATGGAAATATTTATTTTTGGCATAATCATTGGGGAACATCAAATTTTACAACCTTATCTCACTCAATATCTCACACTAACTTACTTATCTCTAATTTTTGGATGAATGGCAGCCAAAATTTCATTAAGCTTGTCTCTTTAGTATGTGAGGCAACCTCTTCTATTGCTAAAATTCCTATGTGGTAAGTTACCTCTAAAAATTCCATTACTTAAATGCTCGATTCTCATATACATAAATTTCCACACTGAAAATGTAGTTTATATATATGAGATCAATTTATTTCTCCTTCCATCTCTTTCTTTTTATATAGACCTTTTCATAATATTTTGCCACTTGATGATATTCTTAAGATGAAATGCTTGAGACTTGCCTCTTTTTGCTACGATTGTAAGAGGGATGATGGGTCTTCTTATCATTTATTTTATGTATGCCCCTTTGCTAGAGAAGTGTGGTAACAATTTGGGAGTTACTTTGGTATTTTTTTGCCCCCACTACTGAGCTTGGAAAATATACTTGCTACTTGGGAGGAAAAAATAAATATTCATTATAAAATGCATTATTTTCCTTTAATGGTTTTGTGGTTTATTTGGTTGGCTAGAAATAGTCATAAATATGATGCTTCTCTTCCCAATCCCATTATTACTATCTCACTTATATTGGCCAACTATAGTAAAATTTTGAGAGCTATGAATGCATCTGGTACTTCTCTTATACCTGGGAGTAGTAGGAGACCAACTTTTTTTAGTAGGAGACCACCCTCTCAAGGTTGGATAAAGGAAAATTTTGATGGTAGTTTTACACCTAATTC